AAAAAAAAAAAAATCCCATCACTGCCTCTGTTGTGGAAACAGCTCTAATCAGGAGGCTTTCTGGTGGTCCCAGAGCCTTGCAGGTGGGCCGATCTGCCTTGTGGGGCAGCGGGTGTCTGGAGGCACTCAGGGGGAGACTCTGGATGAAGGGGTGGTGGCTCTTTAGCCCCCTCTGGCTGGGGGCAGGAGGTGGGTTTGGAGTTTCATTCCCTGCACCTCTGTTGTGCAGGCCAGCACTTGGGTTCCAAATTCAAGTCAGACAAAAGCCCTACACAGAAGGCAGGTTGTGTGAGAGCTGATTATTCCCCTCGGACAGCACCAGCACCCCAAGGCTGGCGCCCTAGAGGACTCTCCCAGGGGCGGCGCTCACTGCTGCTTCGCAAAGGGGGGGTGGTCGTCGCACCAACCCCTCCAGCCAGGGCCAGGTGTCTCCTCTGGAGAGGGCGGAGAGCTCGGAGTAGCCCCAGGAACCCGCCAGGGGGCGTCTGCTCTGGTGAGCTGGTCAGCTCCGCCTGCGCTCGCGCGTTGGGGAGCCCCCAGGCTCGCCCGCGTTTCCGGGACGCTGGGACAACCCCCTGTGGCCCTTCCTCGGGGCTCCCTTCGGAAAGGTTTGTGGCTCCCGCTTTCCGAGCACCGATGCCCCACAGGGTGCTCTAGCCCGTCTGGGAGGAAGGGGGGTGTCGGGCGTGCGCTTGGGGTCCGCGAGATCCCGCCAACCCCCTCGGCCAGAGGAGCTTAAGGCGCCACCGGCCTGGACAGCGGTTGGTCTTCCACACACCGAAGGTTGTGGCTTCGTGGTGTCGGAATTGACAGGTTAAGATGTCTGTTTTCAAATGGGTTTAATGTTAGCTCGGAATAGTTTCGGATCCCCTCTGGGGGTGTGGAAAGGAAAGCTGGGCTGTGCCTAACATTGCCGGTATTTCCTGTGTCAGATGTCGTCATGTTCTCGAGTCCCTGCCTTCCAAAACTGTCAGTGCAATTTTTGTTGTGACAGTCAACCAGTTAGCCCCATTTCTAAGTGGATTCTGGGGTCAAAAGAAACGTCACAGATTCGGCACTGTAGTTAGTGGAGAAAAATTAACCTATCTCGTTTAGTGGAGAAAAATTAAACGATCTCGTCCCCATTATGTCTGGGTAAAAAATATATTCGTAAGGAAGCTAATCAGAGTGGAAGCACGATGAGGAATAAATGCTGCTATCTGCTGCAGTAGCTTCGTTCCTGCTGCAAACGTGATGCAACCCAGGACTAGCTCTAAGGAGGTCTCGCCTCCAGAGTCTGAAAATAATCCAGCAGTTTCATCTGAAATCTGTCTTGAACACTTGGTCTCAACACAACCTTATGCCCTTTTGCTATTTTATTCTCTAAAACATGGTGTTTGTTAGTAGCCTTGCATTCCTCCCACGGGTATTGCACCAACAGCTTATGCACACTGGCTCTCTCCCGTCCCTTCCAGCGTCCCTTCCCTGCAGACCTAAGCAACAGGCCGAGAACGGGCTAGGTTCAGGCTGAAATGGGCATGTACAGTCACCTCACGCTGCCTGGCTCTGTTGGGAGCAGCAGAGTGAGCCGGCGCCTCACTCTGGGCTGCTGGTCACAATGCCGGCTGCTTTCTGCACCAGGAACATGTGGATTTGTGGAGTTGAAAACAGGTTTATTTTATTTATTTATGCACACAGGAACTGGGGAACAGGCCAGAGGTCCAGGGGTGAGAGGACGCCCCAGAGACAGAGTGGGGAGCAGAGCCGGAGCGACTGAAAGCCACTGCTGACAGGAGCAGCTGGGGAGACAGGAGAGGTCTGCGCGCCCTGAGGGTCATCCCTGGCGGGGATGGACCTCGTGCTGCTGAGGCTGCTGCCAGCTTCACAGCGCTGAGCCTCATCCCTGCAACAGCAGGGAGGCCCCATCATTTGTCTGTTAAGGAAACTCCCGTCCAGCTTACCTTTGCGTCTGTGAGCTGGGAACCTCCTAAAGCAGTGGGCGCGCACAGCAATGAGGGGACTGCAAGTATTATGATTTGGGGTTTAGTTTTGATGAGACCCAGGGTTGCTGGGAGACCCCCAGTTTCTGGACTTTCGCTCAGGTAAGAATTCATTGGGGCCCTCCCTGGTGGCACAACGGGTTAGGACGCAGCACTGCAAGCTAGCTGCAGCCGCTTCAGAGCGAGTTCCATCCCCTGGCCCCCCTGGCCCGGGGTGACCCACAGAGCACGGCAGACCTCTGCTGACCCGCCTGCTGGTCCTCTCAGCAGTGTACTAGGTCGATCTGCCTGTTCTGATCCCCACTCTGACTGTGGTGAAGCCTCTCACTACCCCTGCACCTCTGACTTGTATGAATAAATAAATCTTAAAAAAAAAAATTCATGTGGGGGGAGGGAAGTGCACTGGACTATGGTGATGGCACACGGGTGATTTGGTGATGGGAAGCCCACGGGGATCACACAAAATGATGTAAAAATAAATTATTTTATTATTTTTCTTTTTTTTAAAAAAAAGAATTCATGCAGGAGTTAGTGGAGGGAACTGCCTGGGGGCTGTATAAATAGGTCCCGGCGGGGGCTCCCAGACACACCCAAGTTGCATTTTGATAAATTTTGCCTAACAAAAGGGGCAGGGATTTACAGATGGGGTGGTAAGATTCGGCCAATTCGTTTAAAAACTGACTCCAACCGCTGGCCAGTGAGATAAAGTAGAACGAGTCTTCCAACCAGCAGCACCTGTGTGAGATGAATTAATAAGACTTGAGTCAGAGTTTGGGCCACGTTGTTTGAAATGTGCACAGCTGTTTCTTAGAAACGGTGGGTGGGGGGTGTTGCAGCCCTGTGCTAAATTCCTGCTCTGTGCAGTTTTATGTTAAACGAATGCACCAGAGTCAGAACACACACACTTTGTACCTCGGGCTCACAATTTGGGGCACAAACCTGGCTCCCAGGGGACAGCGGAGCTCAGTTTATGCAAACGGTAGCGGCCTGAGCTCCCGCTGTTGGAGTAGTGGTGCGGGAAGGCCACGGGCGGCCTCCCACGCCGGCGCCTGTACACTCGGGAATCCAGCGCAAGCCGTCCGCTCTGCACGCAGGAGAGCCGGGGAGAGCCGCGGCCCCTGGCTTGTCTACAGTGGCCGGGCTGTGCGCGGTGTCGGAGCGTCGGGATGCAGGGGGTGAGTGCAGCCCTGACCCCCCGGTCGCCCCTCGAGCAGGGGCTTGCCCTCCTCGGTCCCGCCTGGCGCCGCTGGCTGGGAAGCCCGCGTGTGCATCCTGGACCCGGCGGGGCTACCATCCCCGGGGCGAACCTGGAGCCACCTGAGCGCTTGGTTTCGTGGGTCTCTCGCAAAGTGTCGGGACTGTCCGCCAGCTGCCGAGGCAGGATGCAAGCCCGGCCCCTGGCTGATAAAGCGGTCGGGAAGGGGGAGCCGGAAGATGACGCTTGGGAAGCACTCCCACCCCCACCCCCGCACCCCACCGCGAGTCTCACCCTAGCCGGGGCGGGGCCTGGGACTTCGGGTGCCCAGAAAGCCGATGCTGGGTATTGTTGGTGTTCCCCGAGGCCCCTCCTCCATCTCC